AAAAAAAAAAAAAAAAAGAAAGAAAAAAAGATTATTATGCCCACTATGCATTTAAACAGATGGAAAGTACTCCCCATTGTAAAGACTCCAACAAGTTTGACATTTCAAGCACTGTCTTCTCTAATACTGTACTTTTAATTCCAAAGGTCATACGTGAACTCCAAGGAATTTTACCTCTTTTTTCTGCTACTTTGTGAATTTACCACGTTTGCTGCTAGGAGAGTCATCTTATTTCGAAAATGAGACAATGTGAGGGCAGTGTTTTGGAAAATTAAAGATAATACCAAAAGGGTGTGTGCAGAATCAAATGAAACCCTCACGTGAGTATGACAGATTCCAGTTTCAGTGGCAGATGTTCATCAGTCCCTGTTTGATATAGCTGCACGTCTCCCCCGCTGTGGAAGTTAATTTGTGTCAAGGATCAGAGGTTGGAAGAAAAAATCAACTCATTACTTTATGGTACATACATATCCATCCTGGGGGCTTTCAGCCCACAGTGAACGGAACAAGTAAAAAACCTGATTTCAGCTGGGCATCGTGGCTTGTACCTATCATCTCAGAACTGGGAGCATTCGGTAGGAGTAGAGTTAGAGCCTGGCTGGTAAACACAGAACCAAAACCATGCAAACCACACACAGCTGAACATGCAGCTCAGGCGAAGGCCTTTGGGTTCTCTCCGTAGTACGGGGCAGGTGGGACAACAAGACAAATGCCCCCAACCCTCGTCTCACAAAAAGGAGTCTTGCCCCGTTTTAGGATTGCTCCGTTTCTTGACCCCTGCATGCTTTGGCTTGGGCTAGCTTCCCCGTCAAGGTAAACCTTGTAAGTTCTGAGTTGTGCTTGAGTTCAGGGACAAAAAGATCCAGAAAGGAGAGAAACGATACTTCTCACTAGTTCAGCTTTTACACATGTTACAGATAAGTAACCTTGGGCACATGAAAAGAGGTTTAGCACCTTGGCAGTGTTCTAGAGAGGTCAAAGTGGGGCATGTGAGATAAAGTGCAAAACATTTTTCCAATTAAGCCCCACATTAAATGACTGAAAAAAAAAGTTTTTTCCCCCTAAAGTAGCCAAGTTAGCAGCCAGAGCTGGTTTGCTTTCTCTAGTCGCCTTTATCGTTCAGTACCGTGTGGTGAACACATAATTGGTGAACACATAAAACAAATGAAAATTGCTGGACTACTGGGTGGAGGAAAAATGTCAGTTTGACCCAAGAAAGAAAAACTATGCTTGATTGTTTAGTTTAAAAACTATGCTTGTTAGTTTAGTCTAAAAACAATGTATGCGTCTAAGAACGTTCTAAACTTTGCAACACCTGCTTGCCGGAACCAATAGGTTCCACTTTTTTGCCCTTGCAAAGAAATCTTTCCACCTGCGCCAACCAGGATGTGGTTTTCAGGCTTAAAAGCTCAAACTTTCTTCAGTTCAGAGCTGCTCAGCATCTCCCTGCGTGGAGAACAGACTGACAGCCGCCGGCCCGGCTAATAAAGGCTCTTAAAATTCCAATTTGGATTCTGGTCTCGGCTCTTTATTCAGGGTAACCCATTACATACGGGTGCTGGGGATTTAGCTCAGCGGCACAGCGACTGCCTGGCAAGCCTGACGTTGTGAGTTCGATTCCCGGTACTGGAAAAAAAAAAAAAAATCCCTATCGTTCAATACTAAAATGACCCTACCTACCTTCTTGCTGTTATCTTGGCGGAGCTTTTGAGGAGCCCGTTTAGGATCTTGTTTAGGTCATTAACCAGTAACAAGCTAGAACCTGGGAGTTCAACACATCTGTGGAAAAGACACAGTGCACCCAAGTGGACGCTGCCAGGAAAGGATGAGAGAAGAACGACTGGGCGGGGAGGGGGGAGGCGGGTCAGAAACCCAGGCAAGGCGCGGGGTTGGTGCCGCAGGCGTGGGGGCGGAGC